AAGTTATGCCTTAAAATGGACTAAGGTATGAAATACAGCAAAACTCAGACAACAATGCATCAGTACATTTAACTGTAAAGAAACAAAAAGTTACAGAAATCCTTTATTTATTTATTTACCTGTACATTCAGTCTGACCACCTTCCCATTCTCCACATTCATTACATACTACACTTCCCATTCCTGTAAATCCCATATTGCAGGTAAAACTATACATAACACCAATGCGTCTAGACGCGATAACAGAGTTCAGTTGACCATTGACTATTACTGGATTACCTTCACATAATATTTCTGCAAAATGGAAATAGATTGTACAAATAACAAGTGTCCCAAAACATGAAATAAAGGTTTATGTCAAACTTTTATGGTCCAGTTTGAGTTAATGCTTTCAATGGATGAGTGTGGACCCGTAAACCTCAGTGTGTTTGGGCCCCCTCTCCTAGGAATTTTTTTAGAATCGACTTGTTTAGCTTCAATATGTAAATTATATTGTTGTGTTTCAAACATTACTATGGGGAATTTTGTAAACTGCCAAGTTGACGAATCCAGTTAAAGTTGATTTAAAATTTTACCTTCACATGTGACAACTGGATTCTTTAGTTTACGACCACTGCACTTAGCCGTTACTGCTAATTTGAACCCAGTGTTGCATTTATAGTCTATGTTATTCTTTCCAATTATGGTTACTTGTCCATTCGTCAGATTAGGTAATCTTCGACATCGTTCTGAACATAGATATAATATTTTATTAAAAACATAGTTTGTAAAGCCTGTATCAAGTTTTTTTTAAAGCCATTCATAGCATTTAAAAGGATTGTAAAAAATTTATTCTGAAAAAAATTATAGGGGACAGAAGCACCAATTTGAACCATTGCAATTTTCAATCAGACGATCAAGTTGTGGTTTCTGCAATCCCATTGGAGCGTTTAATGACGCAACTAATCGCGAATAATGTGAAAAAGCATATTAAGCAATTAATGACGTCATCTAACACTTATTTTTTATGTGGAATTGCAGGAGCCACAGTCTGACTGAAAATTGGAATGGTGAAAATTGATGCTATCAGTGTCCCAACAAAACCTCTTTACAATTCCTTCAAGTAAGAGCAGTGTATGAGATCAATGAGATAATTATCGTTTCTTAACTTTTCAGTATCTAAAATACCATAATAAAAATATTAAAAGGTGAAAAAATGCAGAAAAATTCAAGGTGCATAGAGATAAGGTAGGCTAACGGTGTTCGGTGTGAGATTATCGATACAGTAAAAATAATAAATACACGAAGTATGGGATCGGAAACGATGCGGACACAATTCCCTTTTTATACGGCATCGATAATTCCACACATTATTTTAAAACTTACTGTTGGAACTGGAACTGCTAGCCAATATTTCAGTAATAGCTAGGAAAGCTAGAACAATCAGTAAAATATGTCGTGGTACCATCGTAATTGTTAACTTGTCTATTGATCTATAGAATCAGTCAAGTTGGTGAATGATTCTGATAAAAATTGGACCAGTTTATATACATTCTAAAATATTTTAATCAAAAATACAAATACTTAAATTAACAATAAAAATAAATTGCCAATAAGGAAATTATTTTTTTTATTTCGATGAAATTCGGTTAACGAATGCCCAGGTCGTCACACGACACGTAGGCCAACTTAGGAACATATGCCATCTCATTTTATGATTTAATTTAAACAATATTAATTTCAGTTAACCTTCCAGAGGCCTTGTGAGGCCCCTATTAAGCGCATAGTAATTGACCCACCAGAAGATGAAACTACCAAATTTCGACAAGCTAGGGAAGCCCATTGGATTTAGACGCTAAATACAGCTAGACCGATAGGATTGAATATTCTTTACAATACTGGCATAGCACCCTTTGAGGGTATTTTGTTTACCCCAGGGCATATATTTGAGAATTTTACAAAAAGGTTTTATGTTTTCTCACACAAATTTCATAAGATCCTTAAGTGACCATTTTGTCATAATAATTCACTATGGTACAAACTGATAGGTTTTAAATAAGGCTCTTGAATACGAATAAATAAATTTTTGAGGTTATTTTGTTGGATAATTTGAGGTCTGACTTCAAAGGCTGAGGTCGAATACATATTACTTAATGATAAGAGTTTATTTCGTTGAATATATCAAAGACTAAATAATTCGAATATAAACAAAATTTTCGAGGTTTTTTTGTTGAATATTTTGAGGTCCATGGTCTGTACATACTCGATATAGCAGTTATGGGAATTCTGTGAAATTCTCAACAATCACCAACCAACCATTTAACTTACTGCCAACGTATTATATACTTTAGAGTAGATTTTTTTTGAGACTCCATGGCAGAAACAAAAAAACTTGATATTAAGATATATTTTATGGAAACTGATGCTCACCAACTCCTGCACAAGAGCTCATTTCACCCAAAACATACCTTTTCTGGTATGATTAAGTCGCAGGGTTTTACGATTTCAACGAATTTGTACTGGATCAAACGATTTTAACCAAACGATTGTTTTCTCGAAACTAAGATAGCGTGGATAGTCTGATAGACTTTATGTCGAAATACCTCCAGGCTTAAGGTGTACCCCTTGTCAGTCAAATAAATGCTAAACGTGTCCCTTTATATCCGAAATTCACTTCTTCATGAGTAATTCCACTAAGAGAAGGTATCCTATCCAAGAGCATCTACCTGTGAAGCCTTGAATTTGGTTTACTTATTTTCATGTAAGAAATGTCCCAAACAGTATGTAAGAGAATCTAAGAAATAATTTACGTACTCGGTTTACAGCCCATAGATCAGATATTAAATTAAGAGACGGGTCCGTTTCCAAGCATTTGAGCGCATAGTAATTAACCCGCCAGAAGATGAAACTACTAAATTTTACCAAGCTAGGGAAGCTCATTGGATTAAGACGCTAAATACAGTTAGATCAATAGGATTGAATACGTATTACAATACAGGCATAGCACCCTTTGTAATCC